ACGCCCTCCCTACCTTACAGTTCATGATCCCCTCCTGCTTGAAGCGTGTGTGGAACATATCCATGGAGTACACTTCGCTCCAGAGGTAGCCGTAGTACTGGGCATCGTAGCCTCCGGCCAAGTGGCCAAACGTGGCGGGCATGTTTGTACCTTTGCGGCAAAGGAAGGGAAGGGGCGTTAACGGGAAGGGCTGCTGGAACCGCTCACAGCACGGAAAAACCCCTCCGTGCTGTAAACGTGTCAGAGCAGGCACTGGGTCAGCTTGTTCACGATCCCAGGGGAAAGAGGGAAGAACTTTCCAGTTATTTTTGTATGGTTTCAGCCCTGCTTTTCCTGAAGCCAACAGAAACTGTCCCCATTGAGCCAGCCCGAAGCCCCAGCCTTGAAAAGAACCTGCTGAGCCAAGCTTGCAGGCCAGGCCTAGAGAGAGACAGCAAGAGCGGGACCCCCAAGCCTCTGGGTACCTGGGGTGGCAGGGACGCCCAGCACCTCTTCACACAGCCGGGCAAACACCTCCACGGGGTCGGCCTTCGTCTGGGTGTGCAGTGCCTGGTCCACCTTGGCCAGGACGATCTGACGCAAGTTGAAGAGCCCTGTTCCCAGAAAGAGGGGGCAAACTGAGCTCCCGCCTGCAGGCAGGAGCGTCTCCGAGGCCGGGTCGCTGCAGGGCAGGCCGGGGGGGCTCCCATCCTTCTCCCCACACCCAGCTTCTGACCCGTTTCCCCAGCCCAGCCCAGTTCAGCAGCGCCCACTCAGGCCTAAGCCGCGTCCCCCGCCTTGCAGATAATCCCTGCCTCCCCCCGCACGCCTTCTCACTGTGCCACCACCCAGCCTGCTGCACCTCCTGCCACGCCACCCTCGCTCTTCCCAGATTAAGAGCGGGCAGATGTGGTTCCTTCCCCCCAGTCCTCTCAGTCCCCACAGAGAGCAAGACAAAGCCTTTCCTCTAACCCAGCCAGGTCACTGAGGGTCCCCTTCCCCTCCCCACACACAGGGGACACCATGGCAAGGCTCTGCCCTCGCTGGGGACAGCACACAGCCCTCACTCCCCTCCTGCCCCTCTTTGCCGGCTCCCATTTCCCTCCGCAGGGACCCACCCGTGTTTGCCTGCCGGGATTTAATGAGCTTCTCCAGCAGCTCATCAGGGATGGGGCTTCCAGTTTTGTAGTGCCTGGACATGCGCAGCAGCGGCTCCTTCTCCCACACCCAGTTCTCCAGCATCTGCGACGGCGCCTCGACAAAGTCTCGCTCCACGTGCGTCCCACTGAACATGGCAAACTCCGCCTGGGAGACACGGCAAGCTCAGAGCGGGGCGTCATTTAAGCCCACAAGGGAGCACAACAGGGGAAAGGTAACAAACCAACCCTCTGCCAGCCCAGCCAGGCCTCACCTGAGAGCACAGCTGGTGCATGACATGCCCAAATTCGTGGAAGTAGGTCTCCACCTCATCGTGCTGCAGCAGGGAAGGCGCATCCGGCGTGGGCTTGGTGAAGTTGGCCACCATGGCAGCCACCGAGATCTGCCGGCTGGAATCTGGCAAGAGTCAGCCCGGCTGCAGGCCGAAGCAGGCTGCGTGCCCGTACTTCCCTTCCCTGGGCCAGGAAGAGGAGACTGTTACACGGATCCTCCCCCACGGCCAGCCACGAGCCACCGCACAGGGCAGCGTGGTCCTGCTCAGAGCAGAAGCTCCTAGTGACGCTGCGATTCACACCGACCCCGTGCTCCTGGGACAGCCCTGCCCGATTACACGCTGCTCCCTCCGCAGAGCCAGGCGACTGGGAGCGGGACGGCCTCTCCTCTTCCCCAGGCGCACGGCAGGCTCTGCTCCCCCCTGCCCTAGCCCTCTTCCCTCGCTTCGTCTTGCCCAAGGCCTCACCGCGGGTACAGGTCCAGGTAGAATTTGCCGATGGTCTCCCCGGAGGAGGTGTCCTTCACTGTGTAGAGCTGGACGTCCTCGTGCCAGACCTGAGCCTTCTCTTCCAGATGGAAGGTGAGCCCCAGCAGCTCCTGGTAAATGGCCAGCAGGCCCATGGTGACCACCTGCATGGGGAAGTACTCCTTCAGCAGATTCTGGTCCACGCTGTACTTGGTCTCCTCCACCTGGTTCATGTAATAGCGCATGTCCCAGGCATTGATGCGGTTGTCAAACTCCAGGCCACGCTTCTCGCATTCTTTCTTTTTCAGGTCCAGGATCACAGCCCGTTCCTTCTCCCCAAGGGCTTTCAGCTTCTGGGCCAGCTCATCTAGGAAAACCAAGGCAGGCAGGGTTAGTGCCCGGGGCTGAGAGCAGCACACCCGGCCCAGCGCACGCCCCTGCTCTTCCCCTCCACCGCCAAGTGCCGTACCCAGGAACGTAGCCACGGTCTTGCTGCTTTTAGCCATGTTCATCTCCAGCACAAAGTCCGCGTGCGTGTTGAAGCCCAGGAGACTGGCTTTCTGAGCACGCAAGTCCACCAGCTCCTTGAGGATCAAGCAATTTTCCTGCAAGGTAGAGTCAGACAAAGAGTGAAGTGGGGTACGCAGGCGAGAAAGGAAGCACGAGCCCCAGCGTGGAAAGAAGCACACATCTCAGACGAGACCCCTCCAGTGCCTGGACCCGACCTGGCCTCCCGTCCGGCCCTGCTGGCAAGCAGCAAGGCCCACTTACCTCTTTGCACCTGGAGTTGAACATTTCCTCCACCTTCCTCCTCGTCTCGGGCACGTAGCACTTCTTCAGGAGAGGGAAATAGTGCGGGTATTTCAAGGTGACTTTCAGCTTGCCATCCTCTGTCTTCTCCAGGGAGTTCAGGAAGTCCTCAGGGAGCCCCCCTGAGAAAAGAGCAGACAGGACTGATGGAGAGCCCAGGCCTCTCCAGAAATACCAGCTCTGGGACTGAGCACAGGCACAGGCTCTTGCTCCTTGGCCAGAGGAATCCAGGCACTCAGGGCCACAGCAGCAGAGAAGTAAGCCCGAGCGCGCCGTACCTAGTTCCTCCTTTGAGAAGGGCAAGTAGGTGGTGTCTTCGTTGAGGTTCTTGTTGAAGTCTATGCAAAGGACGCTCAGCTTTTTCTTAATAGCTTTGATTTTCTTTAAAATATAGATGAACAGAGAAAAGTCAGTCCAAAGGGGGAAGTGAAACAGCAGCGTTCACCGTCTCCAGCCAGCAGCCCGCCTGCTGAGTCGCCCAGTGGTCTGCACTTGGCTTTTATTCAAATGCAACGCTGCAGAATTAACTGCATGCAGGCGCTGAGCTCTCAGCCTAGAACAGGCTCCCTTTGATCACACCTGGTAGGAAAGCAGCCGCCTCAGCAAGGTCCCAACTGCCTCCTGCCAGCTCAGGAGCTGCAGGTGTTTAAGCAACAACCTCCCCTCCCCTTATTTCATTTCACCTTCTTTTTTATTTTTAACCCAGCTTCGAGCTCCGTGGACTGGCACAAGACAAGAGAGGGAGACCCTGAGCAGCTCAGCAGCCCCCGGCCCGCTCGCCTCGACCCCAGCCCCAGTGGGGCACCCTCCCTGACTGCCCCTTTGCTTCTGGGGGCCGGGTCCCGCTTCCACTCCTGACCTGCACGGCACCATCTGCAATCTCAGCTTCCTGGGAGCCCCCCGACCCCCTGCCATCAACCCCACTTTGTAAACGTCATCCCCGTCCAATGGAAAGGAAAAAGAGGGGCACAGAGACGTCACCCAACGTGCCCAAGGTCACATGAATCAGGGGCAAAATTCAGGAGTCTGAGCTTCAGTCCTCTGCTGTAATGCTACACTGTCCCGTTAGCCCTGCAAAGCCTCCTCGACCTGTGCTTACTTAAGCTCTGTGATCTCACCTCCTGCGTTTCCTCAGGGAGATGGAGACCGTTTCTTTTACCCAATTTGATCAGCCTCTCTAGATACCTCTTTGCTTCAGGCTTCAGTGAAGCGCTCTCTGCCTTCTCCTGTAAAACAAAACCCGTGAGCGCAGGGAACCGCAGGACCAGGTCTTGCAGAAAGTTGGTTCCCGGTGGGAGTTGTGGGTTATTGTAACACCAGTGACCCAGAAGCAGATGGAAACACCCCACAGGAAGGCTTTGGTTTGGTGCATTAGCTCCTATGGGATTGCTTTAAACATCTCGCCTTTATGCCGCGTTACAGCACTTTTCAGGGCATTGCCCAGTCCCTTCCCCGCGTGAGGCAGGCTGGGTTTACTACAGCCGTTTTACCAACGGGCTGATCGAGGCCCCGAGGGGGGGGGCAGAGCCCTCAGACCCCAACTCCTCAGTTCTCACTGACAGCTGGAGCATTCTGCCACGACTTCAGCTCCAGCCCTGACTCGGTACCATCCACTTCCAAGTTCTGGGACAAGGGAAGAGGGTTTGTTGTAATTCCAGGAGGTTTCAGTGCCCTGCTCAGGTCATCACTGACAGAGCGTCCTCCCAAGCACACACCTGGAGCCAGACAATCCTCTGGTACACGTCCTGCCTCATGCTCATCTCCACGTCGAACTCCGAGAGCTTCTTGTCAGCCTCGGTGCTCGCCGCACGGATGTCTTTGCAAGGAGAGACGTGCTGGGGGAAGTCCAGCATGTTCCGACGGACTGGAAAGACAGAAGAGGGATTACGGCGAAGGCAACGGCTTCGTGTCCCAGAACTGCTCGTGAGTGGGAGCGTACACAGAGAGCCTGTGTTAATTGGGAGCCAGTTCGACGGCCCTGGAGCCTGACCTGCCCGCCCACGCAAAGGAAGAGCAAGGCAAGCTGCTGCCGTCAGACAAACCCAGAGCTGTCCTCTCCGAGCAGCGCTCAGTCACCCGCAGCACCCGTTCACCCCTGCCTCGCTGCCGAGCACATCTGTCCGCGGATTTCCCACTGCCATCCATCCTCCTCACAAAACTCACACGAATTTCCAGCCTGTGAGATCCCAACGCCTTTGCCCCAGCCATGGGGTACTGTTGCCTTTGCCCCAGCCGACTGTTGCTGGTACCAACAGTTTCAAGAATCACAGGACTTCTATGCTGGCAGACACACGGGCAGCATCGTTGCGCGACTCCTTTCCTTAGAGGACCAGGCTAAAAGTGACACACCTTTACTGCAGGTGCTCCTCAAAAGCCACCGTGTCCCAGGTGAGCTCCGTCCTGACGTATTTCCATTTTTAGAAGTGAAAACAGGGAAAACCTCAAATAATACAACTCCGGTGGGAAGGCGCTGCCCTCCAGGCGTGAGAACTCTCCAGCCAGCAGAAGGCGAGCAGGCAGCTACTCTCTGTTTCCCCGGGAAAGCGCTGACAGTTCTGCTGAAGTTAACATCCCCCCTGCTTAGTAAGGGCTTTTCCTCTTAATTTAGGAAAAAGAAATCAGAGAGAGGAAAGAAGAGGCTTGCAGGCTGGCTTCTGCTTCGTACAGACGCGACACCTCGCAACACGGGCGGTCAGGACAGCTAGCGGATGCCGGGAGGCAGGAGGGGGGCTGCGTGACGTTGGCGCTCTACTGCTGTAAATAATTAGCCAGAGATATATCGAAGCCCGCATCGTCTGCCAGGACGATGCCATCACGTCATGTTACTTTACACATAATCCCTAAAACGACAGCAGTGTTTAAACAAGCCACACGGAGAGACATTTATCTGCTGCCTTAGGGAAGAAGTTAGAAACGAGCTGAAGACTTCTTAGATCATCCGAACCGCTCCTGCCAACGCGCAGTGTGTCCCCACTAATGCACCTTGACACATAAAAGCAGGAGACAACCTCGAAAACCTGGCTACTCCTCCCGCAGACCATCCCGCTGCCAA